CTGTACAATATTGTACCTACCGGTCTTTAAAATGTCTTCATCTTCTTCCATCCCAAGCTAATCACGATCCCCCTGTTCGTGACACTCTCGTTCCAACTTTCCTTCTGTGCAACATCAACATCATGGCATGGGTATTTTTGAATTTCAGTGTGTTGTTAAAATTCATTGTTCATTGAGCCCGACTTCGATCCCGAAGTTATTGTACTATTAGTCGACAGTTAAAAAAATCTAAGTAATTTTCCACAGTTTTCCAGCGCAGAAAATGTCTAAGTTTCTCATTTTACCAATTTTTCCAAAGAATTCCACTACTTTCCAAGCCAAAAAATGTCTAAGTCCAATTTTTTTTTCAAATTCCAAAATATTCCAAAAACTTCCAGACACACATTTTGAGTTATGTATGGAAATGATTGGAATTCCATGGATTTCCAAAACTTTTCCAGACCCTTTGGAAAATCTATATTAGGGATAACCCACAAGCTTTCTTACCAATAGGCCTAAGTCATTTTTGACTTTGATCTAGTCAACACTTCACTTGAAAACACATTTTTTAACACTTCAAAAACTGAACATGACAAACTGCTTCACACAACTGTGTTAGGTCAGTGTATGACTGCACTAAAAATCGAGGACGAGGGAGGATTAAATACGATATTTTCCTCTTTCCGATTTTGTAAATTTCAAAACAAGAGGTACCTAAGTTCATGCGAGTATAAAAAAGTATATTTGAATTATTGATTTTGATTTTGAACATATTATACAATATTTTCCTGAAAAGAGGAATTTCGCTGTCGCTTATACTTAAATCTAAGAATACAAGTTTATCCGTTCACAACATTAAGTATTTGTGAATACAGTTGATTTTTGCTGGCTGTGAATGACAAAATGCATATACAGGGACTCAGAATCAGAGCTGGAATAATCAAGAATATTTATGGCTAACGTTTATTATACTGGTTTTGATAATTCTTATTAAATATATTGATATATAGTACGGCATTTTACTTCAAATTGATTGATTTAATAATTCCTAGCTCTCTAATTGGTTTTGGTCCATCATTTAAAAAATCATATTGTATGTTGCACTAGACTTTTCCAATGAACATAAACATTTATTGTTTTTTACACTGCATGGACTAAAAGTAGATCAAAATTTTCCAACTGCTGAGATGATTTAGCAATCTTCGAACTACAATGTTCACTCGCCTTTGGGTTCGGGGAATACTGCCAAGGTAGCTTAATTTTTATAATCTTCTTCAAGTAGCAATTTTGTGGGATATTATTAACTTTTTTATATTAAGAAGCATGGTTAGACAAGTAATAGATGAAAATTCTCCGTAGATGTCGTCAAAAGCTTATCTTAATGATAGAAGTAATACAACAAAGATCAGGGTCATTAAAATCATAAGATAACAATAATATTCTGAATGTTTTATTGAATTTTTAAACCTTTTTTTTACATTTGAAAATGCAAACGCAAACTGTGATTAATTTCCTTATATATTTTTTAGAATACGACTCACAATTAAGCTGTTTGAGCATTTTATGAAAGGACACGTGCACTCAAGCAATACTTAAAGGGCCCTTTTTATGTGCCATTTTACTTTAGAATATATTACCAAATCGTTCTCTTTTGAGAATAGTTAGATATTAGTGGATATTTCTGATGAAAATCACGTTAAGCATCACCTAAATCAGCATGGATTTGAAACAATTGAATATTTTTAAATGCTAGTGGATAACTTAAATCTGGAAAAGCCGTACCGAACATTCTTTTAGTTTCGTTTATGTAAATCAAAGGGAAGAGATATTAAAGTTAACACTTGAACAATCTGATGGTTAATCATAGTCGGGCGCGTTTGCGGAATGTTACTTTTTGTGCCAAATCTGTTTTTAAAAAATTGAAAGTTTCGTAGTTGCCTATAGCCATAATGATTACGCTAAAAAAAATGATACTCTTGCATTTGAAAAAGGAATAATTTTAAAAAATGGAAATCCACCCTTTTGAATTCCCATGTTGATTTTTAACTTAGAGCTGCACCATCATTCAGTTGTAGAATAGTGAGAAGCGGGGCAAAAAAGTACCAATCTGCAGTGTTTGGATATTTGCAAACGTAAAATTCTGAACAAAACAGAATAATGAAACAACAGACATATAAATCAGAGAAAATTCGAATTTAGTGTAGGGACGACTAAATTTTCTGAATTAAAGTATCTGTGATAATGTTAGCATTCTTTTGTCATTTTTATAGTTGGATTACACTCAGTGAGATATTTACATATTCTTTCTCCCATTTGAACGACATTAAGAGAAAATAAAAAAAAAATGGATGTCCGCCATGTTGAGTCACCATTGTGACCTTCTTAGCCCCATTTTCATGAAGACTAGCATATTTTTTCGCATTCAGTATACCCGAAATAGGTTTAAAACAATGCTGGACCTAAAAATAATTTTTTGCCATTAGAACTTATTTTTAGCCTTCTTTTTAAATATCAGGATTAGACTAGTAAATGGATGAGATTCTTGAAAATGAATACATTAAGTCAATGCCCATAAATGAAAATCGTGCGCAATTAAAATCTGCTCCAGGTCTTCCAGATAGCGTTATCCTTTCAGTTTCTTTTAAGAGGTCGTGAAAAGTACGTTTGTGTTGGAAAGCTTCAAATAAATTTCAGCCGCCGCCTTCATGACATTTTTTCCTTTTACGAGGTAGTCCAATTCTGTCAATATCTTTTTTCTTTGTTTTGAATTTGTGTTAGGTAGTTTTCGGTGTCAGACCACAAGACGGTTTTAGATAGCATGTAATAAATTACGCCACATATTCTGTATTCAATTGTAACCGGAAGAAGAACTTTTTAGTATATAAATTGACAAAGTTGCAAGCCAACTAAAACTATCTCCCAGTTATAAATGATCAATCCAGGTAAGGGTATTTCTTAAATATGATCAACGCTAAATTAAAACACAGTTGTAGGATTTATGAATTTAATAAAGTGAGAATTAACCATCGTAAATGATAACAAGTAAATTTTTAAAGGTTATAAAAAAAATGACAAATAGTAAAGTCTGAAAATTGCACAGGAATAAATAAAGCTTTATCCAAAGTATATAAATGATGACTGCACTTAAAGATATGGGAAATTTGCGGTAAAACAAACCTTCAAACCAAACATTTTCTTTTCTTTTAATTGCAGGAATGATCAACATCTAATCTACAACTTTATTGAATAACAATAAATAAAAGTATATATTTACGAATCTGTTTACTAAGACTGAGCTCATTGGACGCAAATTATTTTTGGCGACTTTAAACATATTCAGCGTTTGTTTGACCAGTGTTCTTCTTTTAACAGTAGTTGTATATTTTCACAAGTGATGTTGTCTTAAAAGGAGATTAATACACGAACATGTGCTCATAGTTTAAAAGAGAGAAACCCGCTTCTTCGTACATTCGCTCTCTCTGTTATAACCAAGGGCTGCGACACGTTGAATATTATAATACACCAAGTGATGTTTTTCCTCGGGTAACTTTGTGAATACTAACTTATAGGTGGTATGTTTGTGCTGGGACATTGTGCTCGATCAGATTAAATTGTCAAGCTTCGCTTTACACTATTCTTTATCTACATGGGCGGGCTCATATTGATAACAACGTTTTAAACCTTAGTAAATAATGTAATTCTCCCACAAAAAAGTAAAGAGGGAAATGGAAAATATTTTAAAAAAAGTGTCTTTTGATATGCCATTGTTATTCATCTAGTCTAATTCTAGATCCATTCTTAAATGTTAGTTCAACCCCTCACGTATATATAATGTTCAATCAAGGGCAGGTAAGTGTAAATTCTCTGTATTTGGAAAACAGTACTGAAAGGACAACAATATGGAATTAGTTTATTGTATTATAGTCTAAAAATATTTTTATTATTAAAATTTGGTGCCAAATTGACACAATTATGTACATGTAGTAAATATACAAAAATAATTAAATTAGGTTAAGAATTTAAAAACAACAGAAGCGATCGAAAAAGACCCAAAACACATCGTTAATGCAGTCATCCTTTGGCGAGTGAATAACACTTATCTCAATAAATTAATAAATAAGATTTTGAAAAAGGTAATAAAAATTAAGAAGAATGTGGAGAACCTATGAAAAATAATTTATGTCCCCACTGAGCTTACATACTTATGAAAATTAATTGATAAAAAATCCTGTAAAATCAATGAGTTTGAGAAGTGTTACGGAATTGAGCTACATTACTCTAAATGAACTTAACCATCAACATTTTAGAGTTGCACTTTAAACATTATTGTTATGTAATAGTTTGTGTTTTTTGTACATTGTATCGAATATGATAGATTTGGATATTTATAACTCGTACATAAAGTCACCTGTAACCATACATTCACCGTGACAAAGCTCTCATTTCTTAACTTAATCAACAGCTTTTTTTCAACTTAATATACAATTATAGATAACTTTATCTACAGCTTTTAAATGTTGAAAACAATACATATATGCAAAATATTTTTTGAACTTCATTAGTAATGAAAATAGGCAAAAAGATTTTTTATTTAATCAAGATTATTTGATTTTATATCAAATAGTAAATTATTAATTTAGGACAGGGTTCTTAATGTTTGGTTAGTTGGGACGAAGTGTAAACAAGTTATTACATCAGGAATATACAAAGATGTATTACGACTCAAACTACGTACGAATTAATTATAAAGGTGCACTGGAAGTTATCCCCCTTTTCAAACCAGCAAATTGTTGAAATCAGACGCTTTTTTCAACACTAAAGCAATCAAAACCCATCACGTTACAAGAACCGAAATCCCCTAATGTAGATTTTCCAAAGGGTTTGGAAAAGTTTTGGAATTCCATGGAATTCCATTCGTTTCCATACCAAACTCGAAAAGTGTGTCTGGAAGTTTTTGGAATATTTTGGAATTTGAAAAAAATTGGAATTAGACATTTTTTGGCTAGGAAAGTAGTGGAATTCTTTGGAAAAAATTACCAAATCAGGAACTTAGCCATTTTCTGCGCTGGAAAACTGTGGAAAATTATTTAGATTTTTTTAAACTGTCGACTAATAGTACAATAACATCGGGATCGAAGTCGGGCTCGATGAACATTTAATTTTAACAACATGCTGAAATTCAAAAATATCGAATGCCATGTTGATATTGCACAGAAGGAAAGTTGGAAAGAGAGTGTCACGAACAGGAGAATCATAATTAGTTTGGGATGGAAGAAGATGAGGACATTTTAAGACCCGGTAGGTACAACATTGTACAGTATTTCATGTGTCCCTGAATGAAGAATGCTTCTGCTACAGTTCATTAGTCTGGGAACCATACTAAAAATAGTGAAATGCCTGACTGTGAAATCGGTAGGACAAGCACTATTTCAATTTTGTAATAATAATTTCACAACTCTAAACATATCATTTAGATCATGGATTTTAACCCGAATTTCCTCGTTTGGAATCGAACTGATGTAAAGAATTTTACCTGTACGTTCCTTTGCTCAAGATAACATTTACATGTACTTGAAATTAATTACATATTTTGTAATGCATGTTCATGATCATTTTCAGCTCTTATTTTGATTGTTTTAATAGTTGCTGCAGTGCCTGAGATGATTCCCACAGCGCTGGCGTTTTGATAAAAGTGGATATACATGTAGATGCTTAGCCAATCACTTACTAGGCTTGTGAATATGGTGAGAACCAGCTCAAATTATCATTCAAAACAAATAAACTAACTTTGATTTTATTAATCCATGTCTTTTAGCATAAGATTTTTTTTTTAAATTTGCAACTATGCCAAGTAAACAAAATTTTAGGTAAATTTTTACCATGCTTAATTTCCTTATCCTAATAATTTATAACATTGATTTCTGACAGGTAATCTAAACATGCTTACTGCACAGGTATGCATATTTATTTAAGATCAAATAGCTATCATCTTCTATGAAGTATACATGCATTTTACAGGAATCCGGATGCTCAAAAGAAGGACAAGAGCTGTAAGAAAAAAAACAGGTCAGATTTCTGAATTATTTTCTTCATCAATAAAATCACATGATTTGAAATTATATCTTTTTCAATGTTAGTCAAGCATTGAGCTTGAGCCCTAAACTTTTCATTTTAGCTCACCTGAGCCATTTTTTGATCAGTGACTGGTGTTTGTTGTCTATAAACTTCCTAACTTGAACAAAAAATTGCAAGGTAATGAATTCATAATCTACAGTCAACTGATCTGCCAGGTCGAAAGAACCAATTGTATTGTAGAGCTATATTTTATTATTTGTCATATATTTATATGGATATCAATAATGATACATCTGAATGGTCATCTTTTCTTTCAGAAAGTTTGAAGTGTCTGTTGGAATGATCAACATCGAACTTGCTGAGCCTTTGTACTAAAAGTGAATCCGTTCGTGACACCAATTATCTGTCAATCCTCTATTGCAAATTGCATGGGATATATCAGTGAGGAAGTGATTCTAGCAAACACGTCAGAAGTTTTGGATCTTCCATAATTGGGATCTTTAGCGTACATTTGGGGAAAATAGCAACTGTTGATTTTATCATGTTTATGGGATCTTTTTATCTAATACAGTTGTGAAATATTTTTTTTTGCATTTAATAAGTATGTGTTTGTCACTCTAGTCACTAACTTTGTAAATGTAAATGAGCCACTGGCAGTTTTGAAAATGTATACCCTGTTGAGGTTTCAAAGGTTTAGTTAAAAAAAAAATGCAGACTTTAGTTTACTATATCATGTACATGTATATCATAACATAATTTACCCATGGCGATCCTCCAGTAATCATACTTTTCTCTGGATATTTGTGTTAATAACCTTTGATGTTAAATACTTTCAGTGAGAATACATTGAAAAAAAGTGCTTATATTGTACATCTGAGAGGAATATGCAATATTTGTCTCAAAAAATGTTGTAAAAGAAACAGTGAATTTTTTATTTTGCAAATATAGATTTGATGTATGAAAAATTGTGATGTTATCAAGTTTTTTTGTAATTATTTAACACTAATACAGTTTTCATTGTATTTTCCTGGAATTCCACGGATTTCCATGGAATTCTTTAGATTTACAAATAATCTGGAATTCCATGGATTTCCTCCGCAAATTTCTATTCTGGCATTGTTCCGCTCTTTTCCAGGTAGATTTGAAATTCCGTACCACTCCGAAAAAGTTCCGTCCCAATACTCCGGAGAATTCCTAAGAAGTCTGCGGAACAAAAATTCCATGGGATTCCATGGAATATGCTTTGGAATTCCTTGGAAGTTGCGGAAAATCTACATTAGGGTCATGCCGCCAGTTAGAACGAGAGTGACCAGGAGAGCGTCCAGGAAGCGGAGGGAGACCATGGGCACCCCATCGAGAGGCAGAGGGCACCGGTGCAGTCAAAGCACTAGGCCCAGGACAAATCCCACGCCAACACGCCAGGCCCCGACCGAGGCAACAGACGCCTGTGGAATTCCCCCAGAAGCTCTTCCTCTGCCATCCGATACTATACAACCTACGCTGATACCACAAATAGATCAAAGCATCCCTGAAATCCCCAGTGGAAGCGGTGAGTCAAATTTAAATTTTTCAAGTCAACCACTACAAGAAATCAATTGTTATGATTCCGTAGGTTCACACGTCCCTCAGAAAATTAAAAACCAAATATGGGAGGGCAAATTTATCGATCTCTCACTGCTTACTAAAACAGCTTGTGAATTACAAGATTATGAATCACAAGGGGACATAAAAATTAAAGAAGGGCTGCTATGCATTGTGAAACCAAAAAGAAACACTTTTCTCACATTCGATAAGTGGACATCGGCTTTTATTATATTTACAAGCATAATGATGGAGAAATTTCCAAAACGGGCTCAAGAACTACTCAAGTATCTCAGAGATATCAGAATCGCTGCTACTAGGTCAAATAATTGGCTTAAATATGACGAGCAATTTCGTTTAAAAATGGCCAACCAACCCCAGTTGTCATGGGGTCAAATTAATCAGGAATTTTGGCTTTTGTACATATCTAACAAGCATGAAACTATTCAAACGTGTAAACGTACCTCTTCTCAAAGTCAAAGTTCTTACCCAAGCAATTCAAACCGTACCTCGGCATTTTATTGTAATCATTTTAACAAGGGAGTAAGTTGCCCTTTCTTCCCCAGGTGCAAGTACAGACATGCATGCAGCAAATGCGGAGCTAACCACCCAAGTGCCAGGTGTTCAAAATAATGGTTCAATATATTCTTTGGGCACAACACCAATCAAGTTACAAAATCTATGTAAACATTTAGTTGGATACTCTGATTGTGAATTCATATTCCAGGGTTTTAAGTATGGTTTTAATGTCCAATATTTGGGCCCCAGGGCACACCGCGAATCTTGTAACCTCCCTAGCCTCAAGGCTAATACAGTAATAGCTGAAAGTAAAATTCAAAAAGAAGTAGCTTTAAAACGAGTTGCAGGCCCCTTTTGTTCACCCACCATTTCCAAACCTGCAGGTCTCCCCCTTAGGCCTTGTGCCTAAAAAAGATGGTGACATGCGACTCATACATCATCTCTCTTACCCAGAAAACAAGTCAATTAATGATTTTATTGACCCTGAAGCATATACACTACATTACAGCAATATAGATCAAGCAGCAGAATGATAGTTAAGGTGGGGAAAGGGGCCTATCTAGCTAAGACGGACATTAAGTCAGCATTTAGGCTGAACCCAGTATCCCCAGGTGACTTTGACCTGCTTGGTTTCAGATTTCAGGACAAATACTATTTTGATAAAATGTTACCTTTTGGCTCTTCAATTAGCTGCGCATTATTTGACAGGTTTGCTTCGTTCCTACATTGGCTTACTCAAAACTAATCCCAAAATGATTTGATAATTCACTACCTTGACGATTTCCTTTTCTGCGGCCCACCAGGCACATCCACTTGCCACAATGCCTTAAATGTTTTTAAATCCATATGTTCAGATATTGGTGTCCCAATTGCTCATGACAAAACAGTCGAACCTACACAAGTCCTAACATTCTTGGGAATAGAATTCGGCACGGTCAATATGACTATGAAACTCCCCTCAGAAAAATTAAACCAGATTAATGGCTTATTAGAACACTTTTTGAATGCAAAGAAAGTCTCCCTGAGAGAAATGCAGTCACTTATTGGCTTATTAAACTTTGCGTGCAAGGTCATTGCCCCTGGCCGGGCGTTCTGTCGCTGCCTTATAAATTCAACCATAGGTATTACTAAACAGCATCACAGAATAAGGGTAACAAAAAACATAAAAGCTGACCTCACAGTATGGAAAGCTTTTTTGCAATTTTACAATGGTATATTAAGAATGTTTTAAAAATATTTTTAAAATGTTCCTTACAAATGTTTCAGAAACGTATATGCAATGTTTCCGATTTACACAATAAGAATGTTTCATTTCATGTTTTAAGAACGTTTTTAAAACGTTTTATAAGATCTTTTATATTTGGAAGCTATAAATACCCTTAAATGAATTATGAATGTTTCAAAAACATTTTGACAACGTTCCTTCCAAATGTTTCAGAAAGGTATTTGTGCAATGTTTCAGATTTATGGAAAAGGAATGTTTCAATTCATGTTTTAGAACGTTTTTAAAACGTATAATATAAAAATCTTTGATATTTGAAAGCTATACATACCTTTTGAAACATTTTTAAAACGTTTCAAAAATATTTTAGAAAAATGTTCCAAAAGGATTTAATCGTAAGCTTCTTGAAAACATTTTAAAAATGTTTTTAAAATGTTTTATTGAGAAGAGGAAATGTTTTAAAAACATTTTTAAAATGTTTTGTCTGAAATGTTTCGAAAAAACCTTTTTACAACACCAATAAAATGTTTTGAAAATGTTTTGTGCTACCTGGGGTAATTCAGCTGTAGGAGTGTGCTGCAAGTAAAAACATATGCATAATTAAATCACTGAATAAATGCACATGCAATATACATTGCTATGCACATGTGCATAATATATAAAAACATCAATGAGTCTGTCACAGTTGTTCGATAACCATTAATGTCCTTTTCAAGTAAAATATCAAAGTATGAAACAGATGTGTCAGACTCTGTGTTATCTTTTATATCAAGCTCCCCAGGAGATATCGTTCGACATAGGAATGGAAATTACCATTGTTAATTGAGAGTCGATTTATCTAAATATCGAGTTGAAGGCCACAACAAGTGTTTTTTTCTTTTCTTTTCACGCATAAGGTTTTGCACAAATTTTGCTTCATATAAAAACAAAAAAGGTCTGCTAATAATGGAGTGCAATTGGTACTTATGAGGATTCCAACTGATTGTTGCAAGACCTGGTCTACAAAAACCACATAGATATTGTCAATCAGAAACTCAAGTATCTTTTTTGATGTCAATTCCAGAGAACTTGTGTGTGCAATCAGATTGTGTTTTAACAAAATCATGTTGCAAATGATCAATGACAAGGTAAGTAAATTTACGAGTTCCATTTTTTAAAAAAAAAAGCAGCTGTCGATGATATCCAAAAGCCTGGACTTTAATTTATCGTGGGAAATGGTTGTGCATAAAATTGAAAATTCGTAAGTTTTTAAGCTATTACTTTTGGTAAAATCTTGTGATTTCAAATTGTCCAAAAGTTCTTTGTAATTTTAAAGTATCCACATCTGATTAACTCCACTTCTCGAATATATTATTGCACAGTACTCCTGAAGTTTTTCCTTCACTGCTGTTAATATCTTAGTGAGGAGCAAAGAAAGAGGCTTGATTGAACATTTACTGGAACCAGCAATGTATCTTTGTAAGTAATATTCGAGAGTGCGATTGCTTGACCTGATAGATAAAAATCTATAAAAAAAAAAAAAAAGAAAGAAAAAAAAAAGAAAAAAAAAACAAAAAAAAAAAAAACACTTTTCACAGGTATGAGTTTGTAAAAGTATAAAAGAATGTTGTCGTAACTTAACTTTCAATATCCATGTTGTAATGAATTTTCTTTTAAATTTGAAATC